TTTTTTAAATTTTTTTTTGGGGGGTGCCAGGGATCAAATTCACAACCTTGTGCTTGCCGGGCAAGCGCTTATGCTATTGGCTAAATCCCTGGCCAAGGAGCTAGATATTCACAGGGAGTGAAAAAAAGGAGACTACGGCACAGAAGGGACAAGAAAAAATAAAAGAGCAGAAGAAAAAAATGGAAACAAAGCTTTTGTAAATAAGAAAGGGAGGAGGGGTTGATGGGAATGGGGAAAAAAGAGTTAAGATATATCATGTACAGGTACAAAGTATGATGAATGTGATCATTATGTATATCTAAAACATACTAATAAAATTTTAAAAGTGCAAAAAGACCCCCAAAACAACAACAACAAAAAGAGAACTTGTCTCAGGCTCTGCGCTGAAGGACCTCAACCTGAGATCACTTTGTGGGCAGCCTTGGCCTCCTGCTGTCAGAAGCAGCCAGTCAGCAAGGTCCTGAATATTTCACCGCCAAGAAGCCTTCCTCGATCTTGACTGTCTGACCTAGGAAGCTTGTGGCTTAAGAATAGGGAGAACCAGGGGTGGTGGCACGCACTCCTGATCCCAGCACTCTGGGAAGTTGATGCAGAAAGATTGCAAATTCAAGCCCAGCCTGGGTAATTCAGTAATGTACCAAGACTCCCTTGTCTCCAAAACAAAACAAAACAAAACAAAACAAAACAAAACAAAAAAATTAGGAAGGGCTGGGGATGTAGTTCCATGGTAGAGCACTCCTGGCTTTGATTCCCATATGGGGAAAACAAAACAAAAAACCTATAAGGGGAGCTGAAGATACGTCTCAGTGCAGAAGCCCTGGACCAGGTGCTGGTTGATAAGAAGGTTTGTTGAATGTCTATTTGTGACAGGCAGGGCGCACAGCCCTTTCTATACGTTAGCTCACCGAATCCTCCCAACAACCCAATTAAGGAAATATTATTGGAATCTGACAGATAACGAAGTTGAGGCTCTGGCAGGGTGAGTAGTTTTCTCACACAGCATGCAAGCTGGGAGGATTCATCTGACTTCAGAGTCTTGGATCTTATTACCAGATTCTATCCTATAACAGCATCTTTTTTGGGCTTTGTATACCCGACAGTGGACCCACATGCAGAGAATTACATGCTTTTGTGTCAGCTGCTGTTGGACTGCAGGGAGGGCTTTCTTTCTGTTTTATTGGTGCTGGGGATTGAACTTTGCTGCTGTGCTTTTTTCTTTCGAAGTGCTAGAAATAGGAACCCAGTGTCTTGGCCACACCAGGCAAGTGCTCCACACTAAGCTCACCCCAGCCCCAAGAGCTTCCTTTAATAAAATCTTCCTTTCCTAGCTCTGCTTCTCAGGCCTGAAGCCAGCTCCAGGGGGAGCTATCCCTCCTCCACTCCCGGGCCTGCCCTGGGAGGTGGCGTGAAGCCCTTTGCCTCTGAGCTCTCAGGGACATACTGTTTTCTTGAGGCCCCGCCAAAGCTGCAGTGGCAGGAATCTGCCTCCCACTCCACTGCAGAGCCCGGGATCTGCATTGCTGAGAAAGGCAGGAGCTGGGGCAGAAGGGTTTACAGATGGAGCAGGCACAATGGTAGGATGGTAGGATGACAGTCCAGTGGAGAAAGGACTGCTCCGGATCCATTCATTCATTTCTAACCTTTTACAATGTCCTAGGCACTGCCCAGGGTCCGAGGGTCCAACAGAGCAAACCCCAAATCCTGCTTTAATGGGACAGGATATGTAAAACACCAGAAAAAAAAAAAAAAAAACTATTAAAGGCTAGGTTTTTTTAAAACATTTATTTTAGGGGCTGGGGATTTAGCTCAGAGGCATAAGTGCCTGCCTTGCAAGTGCATGGTTATGAGTTTGATCCCTGGTACCAATAAATTAAAAAAAAAAAATTTGTTTTAGTATATACTATGGAAGCAAGCATGCACAATTAAGGCATTTGATACATTTTCTAAAAGGAGACAGGAGACACACGGTAGGTAAATGACTAGCTAAACTCACACTGCTAGAGTACGGTCCTCCACCTCTGCTGTGTACTGAGACAGATGTTAAGCCTCTCAAGACACCCCGCTTCCCCTTTGTGTGCTGCTGAACTCGGGGCCCTAAGTGCAGTAGGCAAGAAAGTACTCTACCCCAGGGTCTTTGTGCTGAGCTTTGTTCGCAGCCCCCAGCCCTTTATTTATTTATTTATTTATTTATTTAGCAGCAAGGTCTCACTATGTAGTTGAAGCTGCCTTTGAACTCACGATGTAGACCAAGCTGGTTGTGAACTCACTGCAGTCCTCCTGCTTCAGCCTCCCCAGGACTGAGATTACTGGTGTGTAACATCACACCTGACCATAGCTACTTTTTTTTTTTTTTGTCTTTTTCTTTTTTATCGGTACCAGGGATCGAACTCACGACCACACACTTGCAAGGCAGGCGCATATGCCGCTGAGCTAAATCTCCAGCCCCGACCATAGCTACTTTTTACTTTTTGTGAGTGTGTGTGTGTGTGTGTGTGTGTGGCAAAGTTTACTTGAAAAAAGTAGAGAAACTGGAACTGTGGAGGGAGCTTGGGCTGAGTAAAAGAGGAAAAAGCAAGATGAAAGTATGCCCTGGGGGACATAGGCAGGCTATCCGGAGGAAAACTTTGATAGCCCCAGCTACTTACATTTTTTTTTTTTTCAGCTACTTACTTATTAAAGGCACTGGATTTGGAAAGAAAGTAGATTCCTGTAAGAAAGATTCAAACAATACTGACAAAGCTCAAGGTCCCTTACCTATCGACGCTTGTAGCAATCTGGGTTCCAGGACACATTCCCTGCTGATTCTTTTCCTGTACATACAACATATGTTATCTGGATGCTTTTTCCAGCTCTAGAGATGAGCAAATGGATGCAGAGCAGTACCCTACTCAGCTCCTCCTAGAGTCAACCTCCACTTTACTTGGCGCATTGTCACTGAGCTTGGTAACCTCAGATCTTTTTGAAAATTTACTTGGGCGGGCTAAGGATTTAGCTCAGCGGCATAAGCGCCTGCCTTGCAAGTGTGTGGTTGTGAGTTTGATCCCTGGTACTGATAAAAAAAAATTTACTTTGAAGCTGGGTTTGAGGGTTGTAATCCCCACACTTGGAGGTGGAGGGAGTTGCTGCAAGGCCAACCTGGAATACATATCATATCTTTTTTTTTTTTTGAGACAAGGTTTCACTATGCGGTTCAGGCTGGCCTTGAACTTGCTTTCTAGCCCAGGCTAGCATTGAACTCATGGCAATGCTCCTGCCTCAGCCTCCTGAGTAGCTGGGATTACAGGCCAGGCGAGTGCTACTGTGGCTGGTCATATGTATTACTTTTAACACAAGTGACTTCCCATACATACTGTTCTGCAATTTGTTTCTTTTTCCTTAATAAAATGTGTCCCAACATCACTCGCTACAGTTCAAGGCAACTGCTGCCTAGTGTTCCATTGCATGGACACACCTAGTTTATAGTTTCCAGAACCCTAGAGAGTGACACACTCAGGGTGTTTGTAATTTTCGGGCATGACAAACAGTGATGTTATTCAGAATGTTGGAAAAGTTCCACAGATTGTCTAACCACGGTGGAGTTGGAAAATTTCTTCGGGAAGAACCAGGACAAGAACTAGTCCAACATAGCTTTTGACACACAGCAAGAGCTGTGAATCTTTTTTTTTTTTTTTTTTTGTCTTTTTCTTTTTTATCGGTACCAGGGATTGAACTCAGGACCACACACTTGCAAGGCAAATGCTTATGCCACTAAGCTAAATCCCCAGCCCCAAGAGCTGTGAATCTTAAAAAAATTTTTTTCCTGTGACTTTTATTTACATTTATTATTTAAAAAATTATTTGGGGGGGCTGGAGGTTTAGCTCAGCGGCATAAGTGCCTGACTTGCATAGCAGGCAACCGTGAGTTCGATCCCCAGTACCGATAAAAAGGAAAAAGACAAATAAAAATAAAAATAAAAATTGGGGGGGGGCAGGGATTTAGCTCAGTGGCATAAGCGCCTGCCTGGAAAGCGTGAGGTCATGAGTTCAATTCCTGGTACAAAAAATAAATAAATAAAAAATTTTTGAGACAGGGTCTCACTATCAGTTCAGGCTTGCCATGAACTCACTATATAGTTCAAATTGGCCTCGAGTTCAAGGTGATCTTCCTGCCTCAATCGAGTCCTGGGATTACAGGAGTGAGCCACCACGCCTGACTTTTTTTTCTTTGTAATGCTTTAAAAAATCTTCTTGAATGTATTTTTCTTCCCAAGAAAGGATGTAGCAACAGGGTCCTCTAAGTTTTTTGTTTGTTTGTTTTTTGTACTGGGGAATGGAATTCAGTCTTTGCACGTCTTTTTAAAAATCTCTCGCTTTGTAAATTTGTATAACTTGTACCCTTTCACTTTTTTTTTTTTTTTTCTTTTTTCCTTAAAAAAAAAAAAAAAAAATCTCTCGCTTCATTTAGAAGCAGGGTGTACGTAGTTCAGGCTAGCCTTGAATTTGTGGCGATTTTCCTGCCTCAGTTTCCAGGGAATTTTTTACATCTTCAGACAGTCTGGCTAAATTGATAAATTTAATAGGCTGGGCTCGACTTTGCAATTCTTCTGCTTCACGCCTCTCAAAATACTGGGATTACAGATGTGCGCCCCCGGGCTCTGGAGAGTGGAAACAAAAGATCAAAATGAAACTCAACCCATTCAACCTCGAATTCCAGCAAAACGGGACTGTGTCTTTAAGACGCACCGGCACCGCTGGGAGTTGTAGTCGTGTGTGTGTGGGGGGTGACGCGGACTACTCCAGCCTCTGATCCCTCCCAATGTGTAGACTCCGGCCTTCAGCGTAGCGCAGTGCTGAGCGTCTGATCACCCATGCCATGTCTCGGCCGCGACTCTGGGTCCCGACAAGCTCCGGGGACGCGAACCGGCCCGACTGGGCACGTGTGGACTCCATTTCCCAGAGTGCCCCGGGCGACGGTGGCGTTAAAGAGCCCATTCTGCCGACGCCCGGCCGCAGGTACGTGGGTCTACGTCGGCGCGCGTCCCGCGGCTCCCAAGTCCCCAAGTCGTGTCCGCATACCCTCAGAGAAGCTTCTCCCAGACCACTGCCCGCGCCCACCTGTCGCTGGGGACTTCTGCTGTCCCGCTTCTCCTTGGACCAGGTCTTTCCGCGGGTGCCCTTGGGACTTTCTGGTGCTGCGGTCCCTGGAGATACCCGGGGTGCAGGGGACCCTGCTTGAGACAGGTGGGGCGCTGGGTGCGGTTAGTGCTCTGGCATTGCCATGAGGCCACCTCCTGCCTCAGTTTACCCCAATCAGCGCTCATCATTACGCACGAATCTCAATGGTGTGTTGTGTCTTTTCCAATATGATTTTACTCTTGCGCAACTTCTTTCTGTTTTCAAGGACATCAAATTAGGGTAGTCCTTCAACCTGTCTCCTCCGCCCCCTTAAAAGTGCTAAAATGTATAAAGTCCCTGTCTGGGCCACCTCATCAAAAATGAAGAAGGGTAGCAGAGTGTGTTGGCTCATGCCTTTAATACCAGCACTCTGAAGGCAGAGGAAGGAGAATGTCTGCAAGTTCCAGGCCTTAGCCTACCTAGTAAGGCTCTATTGCAACCCCCCCCCCCCCAAAAAAAACCCCTCAAAAACAAAACAAAGATGAAGAGACTTTATTATTCTGTTCCTGGCTTGCCCACCAGATCCTCAGCTTGTGGAAGACAGTAAAAACTATTTCAACTTGGCCACAGCAGCTGGTACAGTTGTATTGAAAAGTGGGCGGGATAGCGGAGTAATTAGGGACCAGTATTCTAAGGTGTCTGTGAAATGCCACGTATGATGATGGGTCAGACTCGAGAGAGGTGTGTTGTTTTGCCAGTGTGGTTAAGAAATACAAACATGGGGGCTGGGGATTTAGCTCAGCGCCATAAGTGCCTGCCTTGCAAGCAGGCAGTCTTGAGTTTGATCCCCAGTACTGGTAAAAACGAAAAAGACAACAACAAAAAAAAGAATACAAACATGGGAGTTGGACACACCTACCTGTACTCGCTCTGACCTGAGGTGAGCTGTTTGCTCCAGACTCTTGAAGTTGGGCCCCAACTTTAGTTTAGTTGTCTCCTTATCTGCAATTTATGGACAAGACCCAACCTGTAGGGCTGTCATGGGTCACAGCACTCTTGGGTGGGCTTTCCGCCTGGAAAACACCTCTGTATTAGTTGCTCGGATCATTTCCCTTTTTGTACTGTTAAACTGCTCTTTTGACTTGTTGGGCATGAAATACCTTTAAGCTTTGCTTAATTTCCCTGGCCTCTCCTGACTGACTGATTGACTGATTGTTTTTTGAGATAGGGTTTTGCTGTGTGATCCAGGACAGCCATGAACTCTTGGTTATCCTCCTGCCTCAGCCTCCCGAGTGCTAGGATTAAAGATGTGTGCCACTGTGCCTGGCTTGAATTTCTCTTGTTTAGGAGTATGTTTGAGCCAGAGAATACTTCAGAATCTTTGCTCCCTCCTTCTTCACAGTTAAACTGTGCAGCTCCCATGCCTTGCTAGAAAGACCTCCATTCACTGAGCCACTGCTATGGACTGTGTATTTTATATTGAATGCAAACAGTAGCCATAGGAAGTTGGTACAGTTGGCGTCAGTTTTCAGATTAAGAAACAGAGGCTCAGGTAGGTAACCTTCCCAGGATCACACAGGTAGAAGCAGAAATGGAAAGAAGGCCCTAGACCTGTCTCCTACATGTGTTTCTTCGACACTGTGCTGACACTAGCTAGGCTCAGGCCTTCTGGGACACTGTGTTCTCCTTGGGATGGTTCTTTTTCCAGTGCCTTTGATTGGGGTCCAATTGCCAAGAGTCTGAGTGACCTAGGAACCCCCATTGCTGCAGAATCTACTTGCTTCTGTATATGGCAATAGTATTTACCCCAAAGGGATATTATGAGGGTAAAAAATCAATCTTTTTTTTTTTTTTTTTCTATTTGAGATAGGGTTTTGCTATGTAGTTTAGGCAGACCTGGAATTCAGAGATCCTCTTGGCTCAGCCTCCTGAATTCTGGGATTACAGGTATATATGGCATGGCATGCCCAGCTGTCACTTGGTATTTGTTTAGGCCTTGTCATATTACAATAGTAATAGTGAGTACTTTAAGTATATTTACTCCTTTTTTTGTATTGGGAATTAAACAGGACTTCGTGCTTGCCAAACAGGCACTGTGTTTGGAGGGAGTGCATGGTTTCCATTTATTTTGATTAAGCAGGCACAGTATTTACTCCTTTCTTACATAGGTATCACATCCAGGGCTTTGTGCATGCTAGCTGAGAGCTCTTTCACTGAGCTACTCCTGTAATTCCCCTTTTGCTTTTTCTTCAACCCCAGGAAGTGTTGAACAATGTAATAAGTAAGAGAGTAGGCTGGGGAAAATGGTCAGGTTCACTTGGGGTCCACTGCTTGCTTGCTAGCTCTGTGACCTTGGGCAGATTACTTAATCTTGCTGTATCTCAGTTGCAGCTATATGAATAAGAATGTTAAGTTGTGAGTTTCCTTTTTTTTTTTGGTATTGGTGAGTGGACGTAGGATTTTCAACATGCTAAGCATGCAGCTTACTACTGAGCTACGCTCCCAGCCCAAGTTTTTTTATGAGATAGTCTTACCATGTAGTTCAGGCTGGCCTCGAACTAACTGTGTAGCCCAGGCTGGCCTCAAACTTGGGGTGTTCCTCCTGCATCAACTTTCTGAGTGCCAGGATTACAGGCCTACACTACCACGTCTGGCCCAAGTAGAGATTCTTTTTTTTTCCATTTTTATTGGTACTGGGGATCGAACTCACGACTGCCTGCTTGCAAGGCAGGCACCTATGCCGCTGAGCTAAATCCCCAGCCCCCCAAGTGAGAGATTCTTGCCATGACTTTTTTCTTTGTGATTGTCAAAATGGGCTCCTTCTATATGTTCAGGTCTCGGAGAAGCAGACGCCAAGATGGGGTTAGTTGTGCAAGAGTTTACTGGGCACAGAAGACCGGTGGGATCCCGGTCTGATCTCTTGGAGGAGGTAGCAGGGCTGATGTCTCAGACTGTAGTGTGGTCCCGACCAGGAGCCCTGGAGCCTGGTCTCCGTCAGAGGAGCCCCCAAGCCTTGCCAGTAGGCGGTGGGAGTCATCACTGGGGAGCAGGAGGCGGGAAGCAGAGGCTCCCTGGAAACAAGTGGTGATTCAGACAAGCAGCTGGGGCTCTGTCAGCCACGCTCCCTGCCACTGGGTGTTGCAGTCTCTTGATGCTCCCTTACAGGGCAGGCCGGTCAAAGCCTTCGCCCTCCAGGGCCTCACCAGTTGAAGGTCCATTTTCCCCTCTGGATTTCTTTTCTGGGTTGAGCAGGGACAGAACAATTAAAGTTGTCTCTGTCTCTGGGTCTCTGTATCTCTCTCTCTCTCTCTCCTCTCCTCATCCTTTTCTTTTTTCTTCTCTTTCTTTTCCACGATACTGGGGATTGAATTTAAAGCTTTCACACTGAGCTGCATCCTCCACCCTTTTTTATTTCTTTGAGTTTAGGGTCTTCACAATGAGCTACATCTTTAACCTTTCTTTCTTTCTTTCTTTCTTTTTTTTTAGCCAGAGGCAGAGTTTTGCTAAATCTCCTAGGCTGAGCTCAAACTTGTGATCCACCTGCCTCAGCCTTCCAGAGTTCTGGGGTTACAGGCACACGCCACAATGCCTGGCTGAACAGAGCAGAGTCTTACTGTGGTAACAGTGTCTGGGAAAGCTCTGAGGGGTGTGGGAGTTGCTAAGTGCTGCTGTTGTAGGTTTGGTGGAATCAGAGTTTGGCATGAGAAGAGACTGTAAATGGGGTTCAGGCGTTCTGTTGGCCGTTGGGTAGGCCTGGGCTGACCACAAAATGCACAAACTCAGAGCATGTCTTGGGTGTGGCTGTTGTGTTGTCCTCCTACACTGAGCTTGGCGCTGCTAGGTGGGCTGCTTTGAGGAACAGCAGTGCAGCCCTGTTAGATGTACGCACTCCTACTGGCTCATCCTAGGCTGGCCTTGGAGGCTGGGGGCTCTGATGTCAGATTGGGTTCCCATCTGTTAGGACCATGGGAGTGGTCTGTATCCTCAGTCCCCACATTGGACAGTGCCCTGGAGGAAGATGGCTGTCTGGGAGGGAGTGTCCCTAGCCCCTAACCAAGCTCCCCACAGCTGCCACCTGCTCTGGGGAATCAGCCTCAACTGGGAGAGCTCAAGAGTTTAGACTCCGCCTGTAATCAGGCGGCTGAGGCAGGAGGATCGCCATGAATTCAAAGCCAGCCTGGACTAAATAGTGAGTTCAAGGCCAGCCTATACTACTTAGAGAAACCCTGTCTTAAATAAAACCAAACCAAACCCCTAAAAACAAAAATGTGTTAGTCTCTCTTTTTTGTGCCATTCCCTGGCTCAGTCATTGACTGATGTGGGGCTGCTGGTACAGAAGGTGCAGTTTCTTGCTTGAAGTGAGACCAGCACTTAACCCTGTTCTACACCCTTTACTTCTGTCTCCTGAGTGTGTGCTCCCCAGGAAATCACATGCACCCACCTTTAGAAAGCACAAAAACCGGTTCTGGTGGCACCTGCCTATGATCTCAGCATTTGAGGGTGAGGCAGGAGGATCATTGTGAGTTTGAGGCCAGCCTGGGCTACATTGTAAGACCCTGTCTCAAAAAAATCACAACCGTGTGACCCAGCAATCCTTCCTCCCCGTGCCCACCTGGAGACACAAAGTCTTGTGTTCAGACGCACTGGTAACCTGAATATATTCATGACAGTGCAAGCTGGCCCAATGGCCCAGGTCTCCTTCAGGGGGTGCCATGCCCTTGCCAGAGAATACTGAGCAGAAAAAGGACTGGGCTGTTACTGATACCTGCAAGAATCTGGGTGCACCTCAGAGGCGTTATGTTGGAAGAAATGCTAATTTCAAGTTTATAATCTTTATCTGACAGTTTTGAAAAGACAAGCCTGTTCTGTGGACAGCAGATCAGTGATCACTGGGTTAGGGATGGAGGAAGGCATGACTAAAAAGTGATAGCATGAGGGGGTTTTAAAATGTTTATCTAATGATCTGTTGATCTGTCTTGCAGTACTGGAATTGAACCCCGGGCCTTTGCACTGAACTATGTCCTTACCTATTTATTTATTTATTTATTTATTTATTTATGGTACTGAGAATTGAACTTGGGACCTTGGGCTTGCTAGGCAGGTACTTATGCTGCTGAGCTATATTCCCGGCCTCCTCTTTAATTATTTGAGACAAGGTCTCCCTGAGTCAATATATTGCCCAACCTGTGCTCAAGCTTAAGATCCCCCTACCTCTGTCTCCCAGAGTGCTGGGATTACAGATGGGAGCCACCACACCCAGCTGTGAGGGAGTTTTTTCAGTGAAGGTCATGACAGCTACAGGAATCTCTATTTCTATTAGAATTTATATAATTATATATCAAAATTTTTTTCTTTTCTTTTTTTTTTTTTTGTTTTTTTCATTTTTATTGGTACCAGGGATCGAACTCACGATTGCACACTTGCAAGGAAGGCGCTTATGCCGCTGAGCTAAATCACCAGCCCCTATATATCAAAATTTAAAATATTCACATCCATCCATATATTGCTTTCTCAGGAAGCCCCACCCTCCAGAGCAGAATGGGGCCGCCGGAAGGGGTCGATTGGACAGTCATCATCCTGACCTGCCAGTATAAGGACAGTGTCCAGGTCTTTCAGAGAGGTGGGTTGCTGTTCTTCTGCAGTTTGTCCTTAGCCTAGAACTTCCCAACCTCGTCCTCTTCTGAGTCCGACACTCCTGGGATTCTGGCAGAGTGTGCTCGAATCCTATCTTCACTTCTTCCTCACCGTGGGCCTTGCTTGTTGGGTGTAGTGTTCTCATTTGTAATAGTACTTAGCTCACATATGGGGTAAAGAGCTACTAAGATGCTTTGTGTTTTCTCAGCACTTGGGACCCTGAGGCAGGTGGATCGTTGCAAGTTCGAGACCAGCCTGGGCTACAAAGTGAGCTCAAGGCCAGCCTGAACTGCATAGCGAGACTCTATCTCAAAAAGACAAAAAAAAAAAAAAAAAAGGTGCTTTGTGGTATGTTACTGAATCAAAGAAACCAGATAATGAGCTGGGTATGGTGGGCACACCTGTGTTCCTAGCACCTGGGAGGCTGAAAAAGGAGGATTGTCCTGAGTGTAAGGCCATCCTGGGTTACACAGTGGGTACAAGGCCACCTGAACTATGTAGTGATGCCTCATCTCAAACGAACAAAACAAAAGAAAACAAATCATGAGTTTTCCCAGGCTGGCCCAGGCACTGTGGAGCAGGGGTGGGAGACCGGGTATGAGTCCCAGCACACCTTCTGCCTGCAGAGCTCGAGGTGCGGCAGAAGCGGGAGCAGATTCCTGTTGGGACGCTCTTACTGGCTGTTGAGGACCCCGAGGTACGCGTGGGCAGCGGAGGAGCTACCCTCAATGCGCTGCTGGTGGCTGCTGAGCACCTGAGTGCCCGCGCAGGTTTCACTGTGAGTGCCCCTGGGCCGCTCCCTTTGGGCCCCTTCCCTTTGGAACCACGTAGTGTAGTTTCCCAGATGCCCAGCTCTTCTGGCTCCTGTGTCTGGGCCAGTTCAGCTTGGGACTTGTGTTTTTGGATCTGTGAGTCAGGGATGCTCATGGCTGCCATGCCATCCAGATGAGAGTAGGAGGCAGGGCCAGTCATTGAGTCTAGAATAGATGACCAGTGCCTATAATCCTAGCATTTAGGAGGCTGAGGCAGGAGGATCGCTGTAAGGCCAGCCTGGACTAGGTAGTAGTGAGTTCAAGGCCAGCCTAAATTACATAGTGAGAGCCTGTCTCCAAAAAAAAAAAAAAAAAAAAAGGGGCTGGGGATTTAGCTCAGCGGCATAAGCGCTTGCCTTGCAAGCAGGCAGTCGTGAGTTCGATCCCCGGTACTGATAAAAAGGAAAAAGACAAAAAAAAAAAAAAAAAAAAAAAAAAAAAGACAAAGTAGAAGGGAATAAATGTATGTAGGGGAGAGGGAACTAATAGGAAATGGATATGTTCCAAATGTATCATATATATTGAAAGACCCCAAAAATAAACTAGGGGGGGATTGTTTAAGGGGATTGTGAAATGACCAAAATGCACGTTATGTGTGTGTACAGATCTGCCAAAATGAAACCCATTTGTTTGTATAACCAGTGTGCATTAATAGAAGCAAGATGTGAAAGAGAAAATACAAGGAAGGAAGCTGGTGTGAGCTCTCACTGTGAGGCCTTGTCTTTTCCCATGAAGTCTAAAGTCGCGCTCCCCTGGACTCTGCCACCCGGCCTCTGTGCACTGGGACTGAGATGTGACTTCCCCGGGCAGGACATGTGGGTCCGGTCCCCACTGCACCACACTTGCCCCCGCTGCACTGCCCCCTGGTGGCACAGGCACTGGTGTGCTTTGGTAGTGGAGGCGGTGCTGCTGGTTGCTACAGAACTGACACCAGCTGGGTCACTCTGCAGCCTCCCAGGGAGGTGGTCCAGGTGGAGGGCTGCCTGGCTCTGGTATCCAAGCCTGCCTGTGGCCATTGGACTTGACTTTACCTTTTTCCATTTCTGTACCTGAGAGGGCTTTGGTTGAGTGCATCCTTCCCTGGACACGAGGGTGCCATCCTTCAGGTGCCGTCTGCCCAAGGCCTCTGCCAATAGGGTTGTTCTGCCTCTGACAGGTGGTCACATCTGACGTCCTGCACTCGGCCTGGATCCTCATCCTGCACATGGTGAGTGGAACTAGGGCGTGGGCTGTGTGGAGGGTCGGATCCCTGATTCTCAGGCTTAGGTGGGACTTCAGTGGTGTTTTGTCATAGCGTGCTGTCTGTGCAGAGTGATTATCTCTCAAATCCAAAAGAATCGGAATCTATTTAAATGTCCCTTAATTGGGAACCTACTAAATATACCCAGCATATCCCCCGAGAAACTTTGAAGAGATTAGAAGGCCCATCTGTCTCTGCGTGTTGACATGGAAGGAGCATGTCAACTCTGTGACCTTGCTGAGGCCCTTGACTCCACATAGGCCTCAGTTTCCCCACTTGTAAATTAAGTATGGCAACAGTTCCTCCTTCGTGTGGACGTGGACATGGACATAGAAGTGCTGATCCACATAAATGCTCACAACTGGACCTGGTGTGCTTTAAGTGCTCTGCGAAATGTGTTTTTGTTAAGTGGAAAGAGCCAGACGATAGAACTTTGTATGGAATGATCTCAGTTTAATTGGAATTTTGATTGAGATAATTATAGATCCACATGCAAGAAATAATACAGAGAAAAGTCTTTGTGGACTTTGCCCAGATATCCCCAGAGGTAATATTTTGCAGAATTATGATTTAATATTCGAGCCAAGATAATGACATTGATACAATTGCCAGTCTCACATCCCCAGTTTTACTTATACTTGTACATGCCTGCTTATGTGTAAATTCTCTCATCCCTGTCTTTTAAGAATGATCTTATTTTTAAAAAATTTTTTTTTTTTTTTTTTTTTGGTCTTTTTCCTTTTTATCGGTACCGGGGATCGAACTCACAACTGCCTGCTTGCAAGGCAGGCGCTTATGCCTCTGCCTCTAGGGGCTAAATCCCGAGCCCCTAGAATGATCTTATTTTTGTTAAAAAAAAAATTAAAGGAACTATGCATGAAAGGCCAACACAGTGTTGCACGCCTTGATCCCAGCTACTGTGGAGGCTGAGGCAGGAGGATTCCAAGTTCAAAGCTAGCCTAGACAATTTAGCAAGACTGTGTCTCCGGATAAGAAATTTTTTTTTAAATCACTACCAGGGATCAAACTCATGACCACACGCTTGCAAGGCAGGTGCTTATGCAGCTGAGCTAAATCCCTAGCCCCCAGATAAGAAATTTTGAAAAGGGATAGGTATATAGCTCACTGGCAGAGCAAACACAAGGCCTCTAGTAAAAAACAAAACAAATGATAGGATGTAGTGCCTCAAAATGAGCATGGTAGTTAGTATCCCTGAAGGATACTTTTCCCTTTTGCATATTTGTACTTTCTAATTTTTCACAGTGATTGTGTTAGTTTAGAAGATTGTAAGGGAAAATGACCAGGTAATATTTTTTATTTTATTTTTTTTAGGTAATATTTTTTATATGTCCTCTGCATGATGCCTGCCTCCTTTGCCCAGCTGATGAGGTATTCCAGTTCCTCTGTCCCCAAGGCCTTCTCACCAGTCCCTGCCCCACTCAGGGCCGAGACTTTCCCTTCAATGACTGTGGCCGGGCCTTTACCTGCCTCCCTGTGGAGAACCCCCAGGCCTCTGTGGAGGCCTTGGTCTGCAACCTGGACTGCTTACTGGACGTGATGACCCACCGGGTAAGCTGGGTGGTGGCTTCGGGGGTCTTGTCCTAGCCATTTGGTTAATGTCTGTCTGTGCTGGCTCAGATGGGGCACACAGGGAAGAATGGGTTTCAGACTCGCTCAGAGCCTGAAGAAGGTAGTGTGGGTCCCCGTGAGGGGGAGGTGTGGCACCAGGTGGGGTAGTGGTGTGCATCAGCATTGAGGGACCTCTGGCACTTCAGCAGCAAACTTCCTTTGGAGGAGGTGGCTCTGGAACCTGCAGGACATGCCACCAGCTGCATCCTCCTTTCTCTCTCCTGCTTTCTCCTGCAGCTGGGCCCAGGCTCCCCACCAGGCGTGTGGGTCTGCAGCACCGACATGCTGCTGTCTGTTCCTGCAAACCCTGGTGAGCCTGCAACTGCCCGGGACCACCTTCCCTTGCTGCAGCTGGGGCTGGCTCTGTGTAACTGGGCCTGCCCCACCGCCCTGTCAGAAGGGAGGCCTGTGGTGTGAGGAATAAAGGCCAGTTCAAGAGGCAGGCTTTCCCATGCTTTCTAGTCCTTCTAGAAGATTCGGTCCCCTGTCTGTGGAATGGATATAACAGCCCTACCCCTTCTGTCCCATAGGGCTTTGTGGAAGAACTTTGGGAGAGAAGGGGTTGCCATATTTCCAGAGCAATGTCCCTTTGGCTTTGGCAGCCATATTTCCTTTTTAGAGGTGCCCGGATGCCCCATTGCTGGGCTCCTGCCTCCTGGCTGGGGTACTCCCTGCCTTGTGTTGGAGACCTTGGGAGCTTCTTGATTGTGACGCCTCTCACAGGAATCTGCTGGGATGGCTTTCGGGGAGCCAGAGTGATCGCCCTTCCTGGGAGCCCGGCCTATGCTCTGAATCATGGGGTCTACCTCACAGACGCCCAGGTACTGCCTCTGGGGCCAGTGGAGCCAGCCTGCCAGGCCTGCTTGGGGCCACCTTTTGACTAGATCTTCCAGCATAGCTGGCAACAACTGTGGTACTCACTTACTCTGTTTCCAAAAATGCATTTTTGAAAGCTTGCCCTCAGCCATCTGTGTGTAGAAGTCTTAGGTGCTGGGGTTCGCATGAGTACACTGGTACCTGCCAGACTTGCATCCTGTTTTCACTTGGTGGCACCCGTGGCTATGCCATCTTCCTGGTTCTCTCTTGCTCCCTTTCCTAATTCTATTCCTCCCCTGACACAGGGCATTGTTTTGGACATTTACTACCAGGGCACTGAGGCAGAGATACAGCGATGTGTCAGAGCTGATGGGCAGGTGCCACTGGTACGGCTGGTGGGGCTGGGTTGGGGACCTTTTGGGAGGGAGAGTTTGCTTTCCTTCTTAGGGAAGAGCTCTACTCCTTTTAGAAGGTTCCGTCAGGCTAGACACAGAATCTGAAGTTTCTGGAATTGTTATTCCGGAGAGCAGCTATAGCCAGAATCTGAGGAAGGGGTAGCCTTGGAATTCTGGGTCTTGTTCTGAATTAGAAAGCTTTCAGTCAGAGAGTGTAGTTGGCAAAAGGCAGAGACCCATCCTTCCAGAATGAAGGGGTTGGGGGAAAGATCTGGAACTGGGTCAGAGAGGGGAAGAAACTGTTTTTTTTTTTTTTTTTTAATTTTTAAATTTTTTGGTACTGGGGCCTGAACTCACGACCTTGTGCTTGCCAGGAAGGCACTTATGCTGCTGTGTTAAATCCACGGCCCAGAAACTGGGTTTTAGAGGAGGCCTGAGAATTGAGGGTCCCAGTAGGTCCCTGGGTGGGAGCTGCCCCAAGTAAGCCTACGGTCCAGGTGCTGGGTGGCTCAGAAGACCATGGTCCCTGGTTGGTATGGCACTTGGCCTCGTGTGGCCCATCTGCATGTGCTCTCCCTGGTTATGCCGGGCCTGGCCCCAGGGTCCCCACCTGATCCTTGCGGGGGTCTCTCCAGGTTTCTGGCATTGTTTTCTTCTCTGTGGAGACTGCTGAGCACCTCCTGGCCACCCACGTGAGCCCACCCCTGGACGCCTGTACCTATATGGGCTTGGACTCCGGAGTCAGGCCTGTCCAGGTGCTGGGGAGGGGGTAACTGAGGGGTACTGGAGGGGGGTCGGGTGCTGTAGTGACCTCAGATCAGCTCCTTCTCTTTGGGTCAGCATCTTGGTGGATGGAACTGTGCCATCTCAGCCTCGGGACTTCATAATCCGTTGCCTGCTCCAACAATAGCTGTGTTCCTTACTCTCACCCAGTTGTCTCTGTTTTTCGACATCCTGCTCTGCATGGCTTGGAACATGAGCAGAGACAACTTCCTGGCTGGGCGGCCCCCAGAGATGGGGCAAGGTGACATGGATGCAGCAGATTATCTGCAGGGTGCCCGGGCCCAGCTGTGGAGAGAGCTTCGAGATCAGCCCCTCACCATGGGTGTGTACTGCTGTCTGTCTCCTCTCTGGGCTGGGGAGACCATGGCACAAACACCCTCAGACTGTTGCATGTTGGCCTAGGTAGCTGCTCATGGACTGGAAAACGACCTTCTCAGTTATCATTCTTTCTGTCTCTTCTGGGGGCTCCAGTCCTAGTTAGTCCACTTGGCCTGTTTGTGGAACCTCTGGGCCTAGGTTTCCCCTTTGGTCCAGCAGGCTATCACCATACCTTCTCTCCAGGTGTCTGAGGAGATGTGTGCACTGGCAGGAGGCCTGACCTGGCACTAGAGCTGCAGCAGGCATGGGGTTTGGGTCGGTACTTGTGTCTTTACAGCCTATATTCCTGACGGCAGCTACAGCTACATGACCTCCTCAGCCAGTGAGTTCCTGCACAACTTCACACCGCCTGGGGAACCCAGGGTGCAGATCGTCCACTCCCAGGTGGAGGTGAGACCTGTCTTCTCCTGAGGTGGCTGCTGGGTGCTGGGGTCAGGTGGGTCGTGGGCTCCATGCTGGGAACACCCTACCTGTGAGACGAGTGTTAGTTTCATTTTACATACAAGGCACTGAGGGCTCAAAGACGCTGAGTAATGTAGCCAGGATCACAGAGGAGGTGGGTGGCCAAGTCAGGATTTTGCATTGAGGCTTGCTTGATTGAGACGTTGAGGACCCTTTTGTTGGGTCTGCTTGGGACACAGGTGCATGTAAAATTTTGGGCCTGGGTTGGTGCCATGGTGCTGAGGAAGGGGACAGGTGGATCAGAGGTGGCCCTTGGGGTGGTGGGGTGGGAGTAGCAGGGCAAGTGTGATGGGAGGAGGCCTCAGGCTGGCCTAGGGAAGGCCCTGGATAGCTGGAGTGTTGTGGGACCAGTGGGTCTTGCTGCCCCACACCCAGATGCTCAGCTGTGGGAGGATTGGGGCAGCCCCTGCTTCAGTCCTCGTGATCTTCCTTGGCTTTATAGGAGCCACAGCTTCTGGAGACTGGGAGCTCTGTGGTCAGCTGCCTGCTGGAGGGCCCTGTCCACCTCGGGGCAGGGAGTGTCCTGCAGCATTGCCACCTGCGGGTGAGGCCTGAGAGCATGGACAGAGGGAGGGCTGGCGAAGGGGCCAGTGTCCTGTGTTTGTTGGGGAAACCCATATGCTTCCTGCCCAGAATGCGTGCCCTCTTCCTTGCAGGGCCCTATTCACATTGGCACCGGCTGCTTCGTGAGTGACCTGGACACAGCTCAGTCCGAGGCTCTTCGGGGCCTGGAGCTACACGACCTTGTCCTACAGGGACACTGCGTGCGGCTTCCTGGCTCCCTGGGTCGTGCCTTCACCCTTGTTGGCCGTCTGGACAGCTGGGAAGTAGGTGTCTGCTTTACATGCCCTCAGCCCCATCATCAGGCTGTGGGGAACCCCCAGGGGATCTTGTTCTTACCCCACTGCAGGGCCATTGTGCACCAGCCTGAGGGGCAGGCTGTGGAAGGGTGTGGCCAGGAGAGTCCCAGCAGGCTCTTCGAGGTGGCCTGAGTGGGCTGGAGACTCAGGTGCGGAGGGGAAGTGACCCAGCTTAGGTCCCAGAGCCAGTTATGGAGGGTCAGGGTTAGGACTCCGGATGCTGTCCTAATTCCAGGCACCTGGGCAGGAGCTCTGAAGTTCTTTCAGGACAGTGTCAGTCTCTACCCGAGCAGTTCTCTGTCCTCTGGCCTAGTGTCCCTCATGCCCTCCCTAAGGCTCCCATATCCCTAACTGCTTCCTCTCTTTTCCCTAGAGACAAGGGGCAGGCACATATCTCAACATGTCCTGGAGTGAATTCTTCAAGAAGACGGGTATCCGGTAAGGTGGCTGCCCTGGAGGGCCTCTGTGGCCCTGGTGGCTGCTGCTCTGAGGCTTGTCCCTCCCTCTGCACCAGAGTAATCCCTGGCCCCTGTGTCATCCCACTGAGCCTGGGAAGTTTGGGGCAGCTGGATTTCCCTTGGTACTTCTCCTCTGGGAAGTTCCCAGTGCCTAGCTGTGTTCAAACTTTGGGACTTTTGTTCAGTGGCCTGGGAAAGATGGCAAGGCAGTGTGGCTTCTCCTGGAATTGTCCACTTGTGCTGCCCCTTGGAGGAGTTAGTGCTGTCCTCGTGAACAGACAGACAGGTCAGGACTTGGGGAGGAGCAGGAGCCGTGGCTTTCTCCTCACTAATGCACCTCTCCCCACCTCAGAGACTGGGACCTGTGGGACCCAGACACGTCCCCCACTGAGCATCACCTCCTCAATGCCCGCCTCTTTCCTGTGCTGCACCCCTCGAGGGCCCCAGGGCCCCAGGACATGCTGTGGATGCTGGACCCCCAGGAGGATGGAGGCAAGGCTCTGCGGGCCTGGCGAGCCTCTTGGCGCCTGTCCTGGGAGCAGCTGCAGCCACACCTGGACCGGGCTGCCACATTGGCCTCCCGCAGGGACCTATTCTTCTGCCAGGCCCTGCAGAAGGCGAGGCATGCACTGGAGACCCGGCAGGACCTCAGCCTGCGCCCTTTAATCCGGGCTGCTGTGCATGAGGGCTGTCCTGGGCCCCTGCTGGCTATGCTAGACCAGGGTGAGTGCTGGGCATTAGGGCTGCGGAGGGGGTCAGGCCAGGGTCACTTACGCTCTGGGCTGTCGACTGAGGGCACGAGGGAGCCAAGCAATTCTACAGCAGTGGAGAGATCTTTGAGTTTAGGCTTCCAGAAGGCTTCATCTCCCTCAGCGAGGGGTTGTGCCTCTGGGTGTTGAGTGTTCTGTGCTAGGGGGGTCCAGAACGTGAATGCTGAGGTCCCCTGAGCTGAGGGGAATGTGGGCAACCCTACCTGGAGTCGCAGACACACTGCCCGGGGGCTCAGAGCCTCAGGTGTGGGGCTACCACCTACCTCACTGATGGTCCATCAGAGCAGTGGCACTGGAATATCATCCCTGTTTGTCCCTCACCCACAACTGCATGATGAGTTGGAGGAGACACTGAGACTTGAACCTAAGTGGTTCGATGTTTGAGTTCTTCATTTTTTTGGGTGCCCTGGGTGGGGGTGAAGGGGTATCTCTGGGTTGGGCTGGCAGGATGATAAAACCCTATTAAGCAGGAAATAGGGTACACTCATAGGCAGGGACATGTCTTGGGCAGAACCTGGGAGGGGAGAGGGGAATGAGTATCTGCTGAGTAGCCTTTGGGGGCTGAGGGTGTTGGAAGCCAGTTCCTTCCCCTCCACTTCTAACTTCTGCTCCTTTAGTTGCAGCAGGGGCCAGAGACCCTGGCGTGGCAGCTCGGGCTCTGGCCTGCGTGGCAGATGTCCTGGGCTGCATGGCAGAGGGCCAGGGAGGCTTACGGAGTGGGCCGGCTGCCAACCCAGAGTGGATGCGGCCCTTTTCATTCCTGGAGTGTGGCGACCTGGCAAGGGGCGTGGAGGCACTTGCCCAGGAAAGGGACAAGTGGCTGAGCAGGTGGGTGCTTTGAGAAGCCCCTGGCCCCCTTGCTCCTGATAGCAGAATCTCAGAGAGAGGTGGGGGCACCCTCAGGTCACCCGGAGCAGTCAGATCCCCTGAACCAGGCAGTCATTCCCAACTTGGCGCTCCATGCAGGTATCTCTTTTCCCTCCTGGCAGGCCAGCCCTGCTGGTGCGAGCAGCTCGCCATTATGAAGGGGCTGGGCAGATCCTGATCCGCCAGGCTGTCATGACGGCCCGGGACTTTATCTCCATGGAGCCAGTACAGCTGCCGGCACCTGGGCAGTGGGTGGTGGCTAAGTGTCCAGCCCGTGTGGATTTCTCTGGTGAGCCCCTTGTGGGAATGGGAATGAGGGTAACTGCCCCAGGGCCATGCTGGCAGGCTCTGTGAGCAGCTTGTCAAACTGCCACAGGGGGCTGGAGTGACACACCACCTCTTGCCTATGAGCATGGTGGGGCAGTGCTGGGCCTGGCTGTGCGAGTAGACGGCCGCCGGCCCATCGGGGCCAGGGCACGCCGCATCCTGGAGCCTGAGCTGTGGCTGGCTGTGGGGTCTCGGCAGGATGAGAAGGCTGTGAAGATAGTGTGCCAGAGTCTGCACGACCTGCACGATTACTGCCAGCCCCATGCACCAGGTTAGAGCACCCCAGGACAGCTACAGGTAGGGTTGGATACCCAGCCCCCTGGGAAGGGGCAAAACCTGGAGGTTCCTCTGTGCAAGGCTGGCCTGAGGGCTAGCCAGAGTGCCTGGGCTGTCCTGAGACCTGCCTGAGCACATCCAGGCACAGGAAAAACAGATGACTTCAAGCCCTTTTGTAGCTTGAGGGTGGGTTCTGTACTGCTACTAGGTGTTTGTCCCACCAGGTGTCTGGGGAGCTGCAGGTGGAGGTGGGTGATTGGATTGGTGTCCGAGTTCCTTGCTTTGTGCCCTTCCTCTGCAGGGGCCCTGCTGAAGGCGGCCTTCATCTGTGCGGGGATTGTGCACATTCACTCCGAGCTCCCACTGCACCAACAGCTGCTGCAGACCTTCGGGGGTGGCTTCGAGCTACACACCTGGTCTGAGCTGCCCCATGGCTCCGGTCTCGGTGAGTAGGTCCTGGCCCTGTTGTCCACCTACTGTGTCACAGCCTTCCAGCCTCAGCTGTGATTCCCCCTTCTTGGCCTGTGCACAGCAGAGTGGGATGGGACTGAGCTGGGCAGAGGCCATTTATGCTTGGTTCCTTTTCTCTGAACCCTGCAGGCACCAGCAGCATCCTGGCTGGTGCTGCTCTGGCTGCCTTGCAACGGGCTGCAGGCCGGGCTGTGGGCACAGAGGCCTTGATCCATGCAGTGCTGCACCTGGAACAGGTGCTTACCACAGGTATGTGATGGCCCGGGGCAGGGGGAGTCTCTGATATCTTCCCAACGCCTTGGGGGCTCCTTTCTATTGGCATGGGATTTCCCAGTAGTCACATAGCTGCTGCTCCTTAAAAGTTTTGGGATTATAGGTATGCACCATCACACCCAGCTCTAGTGCTAGTCTTTGTCTCTGCCCAGGCTGTCCTTCACCAGAGCGGGGTTTGGAATAAGGGTTAGAGTCTTGGTCTGTCTGCTTGGCCACCTGCTTCTCCTTTGAGCAGAGGCCATCTGCACCTGCGTTGCTCCCTGGCCATATGGTGGGGCAGCAAGGGCCCAGCCCAGGCTATGATCTAACAGGATGTTCCTGGTGCCAGACTTCTCTTCTGGTCATGATGAAACTTTGGAACCTGTTCACAATGTGGGGCAGCCAGAGATTTGACTGGTTCCAGATCCTGAGGGGGTCTCTTCACCCAGGCCTGCTCTCAGCAGGATGCTGGAAGGAAGCTGCCACGCGCAGATGCCTGATTATGGTGTCCTTTCCCAGCCCTCTGCAGCCCAGCCCCCTCCTTTCAGTGTCCTGACTCACATCCCTGGTAGGTAGTCACTAGCGAAAGGATTCCATGGTTCCATTTCCTTTGAGGAGGTTTGATTCAAGTTCTTACTTTCGTTAACTGATACCTACTTATTGAGTTCTAGGGATATAATGAGCAAAAACAAGGTCCTTGCCCCCAGTAATCACAAGGTAGAAGGAGATGGATATCAGTAACCACTCAAGAGAAGGTATCATGTCGGACTGTGCTAAGTGCCCTGAAGGAGAGGGCACTGTTAGGAGTTTGACATTTCCAGTTCTATCCTACCACTGTGTTCTGGCTGTTAAAAGTCTCAGCTGCACCCTGGTATTTGCATTCTGTACTTTTGTGGGGGAGGGGGTACGTACCAGGAATCAAACTTACAGCCTGGCATTTGATAAGACAGGAGCTTATGCCACTGAGCTATATCCCCAGGCCTGCATTTTGTACTTTTTAAGCCCTCCCTCAAATATTGAGGGTCTAACTACAATGGTACACACCTGTATTCCAGCACTGAGGGAGGCTGAAGCAGGAGGATCACAAGTACATGTCCTGCCTGGGCAACTTAGTGAGATTCTGTCTCATAATAAAGGACTGGGGATGTAGCTCAGTGGTAGAGTGCCTCTGAGTTCAATCCCCAGGGACCACACACACATACAAATAGAGAGCTTGTCCCAGAAGTAGGTCTTGCTTTGTCTGTCTGCTTCTCTTTCATTCTTTTTTTTTTTTTTGTCTTTTTGAGACAGGGTTTGCTATGCAGTTCAGGCTGGCCTTGAGCTTACTTTGTAGCCCAGGCTGATCTTAACTCATCAAGATCCTCCTGCCTCAGCTTCCTGAGTGCTGGGATTACAGCCGTGAGCCACCATGCCTGGCTGTCTTTCATTCTTTAAATGCCTTGCACATGCTAGGCAAGTGCTTTACCATTGCGCTACATCCCTCGCCCTCTAGTGTTTTTTCTTTTTTTGTGTGTGTGATGGGTCTAAGTTGCCCTTGGTAGCCTTGAACTTGTGATCCTCCTGCCTCATCCTTTTAAGTGTCTGTAAGATTACAGGCCTGGCACTACCTTGTCTGGCTTTTATATAGCTGCATGGGGAAGAGATCATACTGTTTATTACCAAAGCAAGATGTATAAACTTCTTTCAAGTTAAGAGGAAATAAGAGGTACTGAAAAGCCTATTTTTAACATAAACACTGTGAGGAGACAGTATATGGGGATCATTGGGTCACAGGGAAGTCCTGTCCTTTTTCCTCTGACTCAGCTTCCCCGGAGGGGTGAGGTTAGTGTACAGTCCTGGGGTGTGGTTTGTCCCAGTTCCATTTACACAGTAGGTCTGTACTGAAAAGTGAGCCTTGTGATTTCCAAACTGGACTCTGCAGCCCCCTCCCATGCTGGAGGTGGCTTGTTCACACCAGCAGCCACACAGCTTACTTGTCCCAGCTGGTTCCAACCAAGGGTAAAGGGCCAGGAGCCAGGGCTGGGCCAGATAGGCTTCAACAGACATAGAGCCCTGGGCTTGCAGGAGGTGGCTGGCAGGACCAGGTGGGTGGCCTGATGCCTGGCATCAAGGTGGGGCGCTCCCGGCCCCAGCTGCCACTGAAGGTGGAGGTGGAAGAGATCACTGTCCCTGAAGGCTTTGTCCAGAAGCTCAATGAGCACCTGCTCCTGGTGTACACCGGCAAAACCCGCCTGGCTCGGAATTTGCTGCAGGTAAGCACAGCCCAGGGTGAATAAGGCAAACGGCTCAGCTGGGCTGAGACTCTCACTGTGCCTCCTTGCCCCTCTGCAGGATGTGCTGAGGAGCTGGTACGCCCGGCTGCCGGCTGTGGTGCACAATGCCCACAGCCTGGTACAGCAGACTGAGAAGTGCGCGGAAGCCTTCCGCCAAGGTGAGCTGGTCTTCCAATGGAGGGCAGGTGGGGAAAGAGACTTGGCACTATGTGAGCACAGGGAATTGGGTAGAACAGGGCCCTATGTGTGTGCCACATGGTTTTTTCTGCTGGCTACCATGTTGGTTGGTTCGTGGACTTTAGTCTGTAGCCCTGTGCAGGAGGCTTTATTACTCCTGTTTCCGGCCAGCAATGAAGCTGGGTTACCCCTGACGCCTGCACTTCCATTCACTCTCATAAAGAGGCACTGATGCCCAGGTCGGGGGGACACAACTCCTCACTCTGCCCTGCTACAGGAAGCCTGCCTCTCCTGGGCCTCTACCTGACATCATACTGGGAGCAGAAGAAGCTCATGGCCCCAGGCTGTGAGCCCCTGGCTGTGCGGCAGATGATGGATGTCCTGGCCCCCTACGTGCATGGCCAAAGCCTGGCAGGGGCAGGTGGCGGGGGCTTTCTCTATCTGCTGACTAAGGAACCACGGCAAAAGGAAGTTCTGGAGGCTGTGCTGGCCAAGACCAAGGTACCGGAAGATGTCGGGGTTGGTAGTTGGAAGGGGTAGAGACCTCACTGGGGCCTGCCAGCTCACCAGGGGCTGTATCTGCAAGCCCCCCGAACCCTGTACCCAGCCTCCAGAAGGCTGAGTTGGCCGGAGGCCTCTGATCACCTTCTGTTCTGTCCAGGGCCTTGGCAACTACAGTGTCCACCTGGTGGAAGTGGACATGCAGGGCCTGAGCCTGCAGCTGCTGGGGAGTGAGGTCTCTACCTGATGTCCAGTGCCATGGGGCTGGCCCCTCCGGAATAGGCAAGACCAGAGCTCCAGCTACCGTGCCATTCCTTCTCTCATGGGAGTTCACATTCCTGATTCCCCACTTGCCTCTTTGAATTTGCCCTACAGGAAGCAAGACTTAGGCCAGGGAGGCAGTGTTGGAGGACGGGACTTGGTGACAAGGGCTGAGGCTTGGCTTTTGTTACATCTGGACTAAGGGCCAAAAGCTCAGTGTCCCGTGTGGCCTTTACAAATCACATGGCCCAGTGGAGCCTTCTTCAGTCCACTAGGATCCTGTGAGAAGGGGAGGACAACCAGTCATAGCAGATGGCTGGGGTCCCTTGGTAAGGCTGAGCCTAGAGGTCCTTGGAAGCTTTTCCTGTGGCTTGAGTTAAGGTTGCAGACTCCATGCTCAAGACTCTGCAGCCCTCCTGGAGAAGTGGCTTGAGAGTGGGGCTCTGTTCCCAGGGCTGTGGCACTGAGCAGTGGTGGGTCTGCAGCAGGTCTGTGCTAGCCCAGGCCTTAGCCAGTAACCACACACAGAGTGCCAAGTAAGCGATGCCTGTGGGCAAGGGGTTCTCAGAACTTGACATTCTTGGAATAAACTCATTCTGCGTTGCAAGGTTATACTCAGAAAGCTCTTTCTTGTTTTTGCCAAGAGCAATCCCCACTTCCCCTGGCACGATGGGAAACTGTGCCATCTCGGATGACTACCTCATGGGAAGTGAGGGGCAGGACTGGTTGAGGGTTCTGGAGTGGCTGGGAGGTGTGGGAGGAGGCTGAGGCCTTGGGCATCTGATTTCACATTTCAGTGTGACTGTGGACCTGTCCTGCCCAGCACAGCTTGCTCTCCCTGAACCAGCACACTGGCACCTTCCCAGCAGTGTCTTTATTCTGATGTTTGTTCGTCAACATCACAGCCTGTCCTCGATGGCGAACCCAATCCCCAAGTCCCCACATGAACCCAGGTCCTCGGGGCTGGCAGGAGCAGCAGGTTTGCTGCAGTGTGGGGCCAGAGAACGACTACCCCCGCGGAAGTCTGGCCTGGCCCGCACACCGCACGCTTTGGTTTTCCCCATCTGGTAGGTAAAGGCTGCTCCCAAAGCACTCCCAGCTTGGTCTGAGGGCGAACGTGGAGTGAGTGCAGCCCTGTTTCCTGCTGACAGTGCTCCCGGATAGCCACCCAGCTCCTCGGCTGCGGCTGCTGAGGGAACAGGCGCTGAAGTGTGAGGGGCTGGGTGGGCTCACGCTGGCTCTTACAGGCGCAGCCGCTTGATGTCCTCATGCCGGAAATCTATGCGCAGAGCCAGCACCTGGCGAACCTCAGCAGGGGTGAGGCGCCACGTCAATGGGCCAGAGTTGGCACCCCAGTAATCTAGGATCTCAGTCACCTGTGGGGAAAAATGGAGACCAGTCAGCAAGGTGGGGTTATCCTGGGGGAAGACCTGGGGCTCCACCCAGGGCAAGGCAAGGGTGCTTAGGGAAGGGTAGTATCCTGGCAGACATAAAGGAGTGGCGGGGACCCCTCTTTCTAGTCCCTTTCCTTGGCTAGACTGAGGGAGCCCCACATACCCGCTCCAGATTCAGGATTGTGGCCATCTGGGAGAGCCGGGCAAACTTGTCTCGGATGGTCCAGGTTGTCACCGTGGTAAGGTAGGCAATGAGCGACCTCAGCTCCTTGTCAAACTGCAGCCCGCCGAGCTGCAGAACAGAAGCCTTAGTCTCTCTGTGTAAGGCTGGCCCAGCTGCCCCTCATGTGGGGCATTGTTGCTACACTGTGCTATGGGCTCAGAAGCCAGGGCAGGACTGGGTGAAGATGTATGTGCAGGATCTAGAGGTACAGAGGGCAGTGAGACATTTCCCTCAGGGGAGATGAAGCCCTTCTCTTACCCGATTAAAGGAGGATTTCAGCACCACTTTCTCTAACTCAACAGCCACAAGACTGGTCAGGAGGCTGGTCAGGCTGTCGTAGATGACTGGGGACAGGCTGGCCTGTAGAGAGATGTGACATCCAAGGGAGACCCTGGCCCTTCTACTTCTCACTGGAGGGCACAGAAAAGCTTGCAGAGCTGCTGCAGGAGGGACAAACTGCAGGTTCTAGTGTGGCAGGTAATTCTACCAGCCCTCACTCACCTTAAACTCTGACATCTGCTGCTCCAGGTTAAGGATGAACTGTTGTACCCAAGGGTCATTGGCCTCATAATCATTGAATTCTTCCTATTGTCAGGAAGCAAGGAGGGCCAGTGTCACCATGGATCTATTTCTTAGAAGTACTACCATCTCCATTTCACCTCTGCCTCTAAGAAATCCTGCCTCCTGGTAGCTCCCTCTAGTTTATTTAGAGACAGGGTCTTGCTATGTAGTGCAGTTTGGCTTTGGAACTTAGTATGCAGCTCAGGTTGGCCTCGAATTGGCAGTGATCTTCTTGCCTCAGCCTCCTGACTGCTGGGATTATAGGTTTGTGCCACCACAACTGGCTGTGATACCTCCAGTTTAAAATCAGTTTGACCCTTGAGTGAGGTGTTCTGAAATTTTTATTTTATGTTCAAATCAGTTTGACCCCCAGCCTGGCAGAACCTTGCCATCACTGCATCTCCAGCCAGCAAACTGTCCTGGGCTGGAACAGTGGCCCCAAGATTGGAATAAGGCTTTAGGCCATTGTTCCCTCCTGTAGCTCATGTTCTACAAGAGTAGAGTCATTCAGCTATGGAGACAGTAGCTCCTTAGTCTGTGATAGGTGAGGTAAAACATCCTCAGGGCGTATTCCAGCAATCCCAGCATCCTGGAAGGCTGAGGCAAGAGGAGTGTGGACAATTGTGAGTTCAAGTCGAGCCCGGGCAATTTAGTACACTTAGTAAGATCTTGTCTCAAAACAAAAAATAAAAAGGTCTGGGGATGTAGCTCACGTGAAGACCCTGGGTACAATCCAAAGCAACACACACACACACACAAAAACATCCAACAAACAGGAACTTGTCAGGTCAAGACAAAGTCCCTTCACATATTTCTGAGCCTTCTGATTGCAGGAACAAGCCATTTCCTGGGAGGGACCCTGTCTCAGTGGGCTAAACAGCAGGTAGGGTCCACTGTGTTCAGACAGCTGCACTGTGCTCCAGCTGGGGAAGAGGGCAAGGAGGAAGCCCAGACTAGATGGCTGCTGTGGTCAGGCTGACCTCCTCAATGTTGTGGGAGACAGAGAGAAAGGTGTTGATCCACGGCTGCACCTGTGGCTTCACTGCTGTGCTGTTGAGCTCCGCCAGTCCTTCCTGCACAGAGACAGGGCAGAGACATGTCTCTCACAAATGCCCCATCCCTGCCCTCCCTCTTCTTCCACCCCTTCCTTGACTGCAGGGAGGCTGTCTGTACACCCGGTGAGCACAGCAGAGATCAGGCTAATAAAAGGAGTCAGGAACGATACATTAAGGTCTGTACAGATTTGGGTCTAGAGAAGAGGCCCAGAAGCTATTTTAGTAAACTCTCCAGAGGTTTCAGAGTGCTTGGTGCTAGGCAGCACCTGTGGCTAAGGCCAAGCAGCGGGTCACAGTAATCATGTGGTGTGTTTCCTTGGAGCATCCATCAGGGGCTCTTGTCATTGTGAGGCCAAGTGGAGCCCCTAGAGAACTGGACACTGGCTTGTCAGTGTGATAGCTGAATTGATCAAAATCCGGTGGAGCCTTTAGTGTCAAGGAATCTGTGTAACGTCACTGGCTGGCATGTCACCTCTCACCCTCCTCCTGCCCATTTCCTTGCATATGGTGGTGCCCACAGTAAGCCACTTAACAAGTCTTCTCAGAACAGCACATGGACACAGGACCCGGGCAGCAGCTGAGCCTGGACCTTACCTGCAAGAGGTCTCGGAATTTGTTGGACACAGCAGCCAAATCTGACAGGCAGCTATCAAACTTGGCTTGGGCCTGCTCCCCTCCAATGCCCTGGCTGAACAGTTTGGTGCAGTCGCTCTAGAGGAGAACATGGCACATGGTGTTAGACCACTGGCTTGCATCACCGGCACAGCAAGAACACAAATGAGGATAGTCACCTTACTGGACACTAACAGACTATGCTACTGGTATTCCATGTCTTGTTTTACTCCATGTTAAGGCCCTGCGGGGTAAATTCTTGGTCCGTATTTCACTGTTCAGGAGCCCTATTACTAGGCCTGTGTGCCGGCTCCAGTTTTCTCCTCAGTCGCCAGCCCCAACTGCACACCAGCCCATTTCCCAAGGCTACATCTAGGAGTGGGAGAACTGGGCACCTCATGTCCTAATACTTAGCAAAGTAGTTGCTCGCTGCTGTTATTTTTAACTGTGGTTACAAATAATAGCATCCACTGAGAGTTTCTCATGTACAAAGTACTTTACAGTATCGCATCATCCCACTACAATGCCGGGAAGCAGGGGTCCTTGTGCTTTTACAAATGAGGGGATGAGGCTTAGGGAGGTTACAGAACTTGCCTAATGCCATGCAACTGCTTGGAGATCAAATGGGGATTAGAACTCCATGTACCTCACTTCAAAGCCCAAGCAATTTCCACTCCATCCTGCTGCCTTTAATAAGTAATAGCAGCAGGTTGTGTACAGGGTTTGATGAACCTTACCTAATCTCTGACATTTATAGAAAGCCTCATCATTAAAAAAGCACTTTATTATAAAGTTCTTTCAACTCTGTGTTCATTAGACTTCCCAACAAACATAAACTAGAGCAAATGGAGGCCTGTATTCATTTCATGGATGAGAGAACTGAGTTTCTGAGCATTAAGGGAGCATGTGGCAAAGGTCACATGCTGAGAATGTGCTGGAAGTTCTAATTTGTGTGTGTGTGGTGGTGTTTTTGTTTCTGGAGATTGAAACCAGGACCTTTGGATGAAGCTACACCCTCAAGCCTTTTTAAACTTTTTGGGACAAGGTCTAAGTCACTAAATTGTCCAGGCTGGGTTTGGGACTTGGTGATCCTCTTGTCTCAGCCTCCTAGAGTGCTAGGATTATAGGTGTGTGCCACTATACCTGGCCCTAATTTGAATTCTGATCTTCTAACTCTAGGACCAGACATTTCCCCACTGACCCATATATGCTTTGCTACCGTGTCAATTAGTGAATCCCTAAACATGTGGCTCTATGGCAGGGAACAGTCCCAATGAGGATTAGTGTACCGGGCTTTGTCACAATGAGCTAGTCATGGCTGTGGAAAGCTGACAGCAATTTCCCCTGTACCTCCAGAGTCTTCTTCAGAGTGGAGATGTTTTCACTGCAGACTTCCACATTGTTCAGAGTCACCTGGGAGAAGAAGAAAGGAGAATGTGACTTCCTGCCTACTGGGCTTTCTGGCCATTCCTCTACCAGACTGGCTGACAGCTGGAGCCCACGAGGCGTAGGAAGGGCTGGCTGGGGTTTAGATGCAGGCTCAGATCTCAGATGGGCAGAACAGTGTGGCAGCTCACTCTGCTGTGCCTGATGCCAAGGCAGCAAAGCTATCACACTGCACATTCACTGAACCCAGGTTCCAGGGCCTTTTTGCTTTAGGTTACTTTCAGATCAAAACATTGGGTGTACCAGTCTGGGATAAGTTTTGGGGCTTCAAACTGCCAGCTTGAGTCAGGGATGTGGAGTCTAACACCTAGCAGGCATTTC